TGTCCATGAACATGATTTAATTAATACAGCTGGGGTTAGTGGAGGTGATTGGCGATTCCTTTGCAGGTTTTCGAAGTCGATCGTACCGAAGAAAATGGGGCCTAGTCCAATAGGCCTGTGATCTAGCTGGCCTGGCCCTGTTAGCAAATTCCTATGTTAAAATACATCTCAACTGTGGTTTTGATTTTTACAGGTGCAAGTGTGACAGATGTGAGTTATGTGAAACTCCAGAGGAAAACATGTTGCACAGAAAAGATGCCAGTACAGGAAAAGAATGATGAGTACAACAATTTTGGGGGAAACATGAAGTGCATTACATAGCATCCAGGTTTTATGTCTAACTATCTGGATGTCTGGGTTCTGCAGAATGTTTATGATAATTTCAAAGTGCAACATAAACACAGATTTGAAATAGAAACCAATGAGTGAGTGTGTTAAATAATTAAATATATTTTTACAGATACACTATTAATAATATGGATCTCTATCCATATATGGTGGACAACAGGACATTTGCATACAAAATATCACACAAAAGGTTCTCATCCATGCATTCACGGCGATGACAAAGAAAATGAACACAACTCATGACGTCATTTCCGGGTTGGTGGCGCTACTGGTAATATTGTTAATGCTGTAGCAGACGACAATTTGGGCCTAGAATTTGTTCATTCAAAAGGCTATAAATATAAAACGCGTTTTTTTATTCTTTTTTTTATTATTCCTATGCACATTTGGAGGTACATAAACAAATTCTCAGATGAATATCATACATTTAATTCACATAGTGGTTTATTTGGTTTCGTTATGTTGATGATATTTTTTCTCCATGGTAAGTGAACCGTTCAGACTTCGATGATTTTTTCGGTAAAAACAACCTCGCACGTACTATAAATTTTAAAGTAGAATGGGAAGATTCAGGTAAATTACTTTATCTTGATGTCCTTTTATTCAACGTTAATGGCTCGCTTAAATTTTCGGTTTATCGTAAACCTACTCATACCGCTAATTATCTTCATTTTTTTCTCGAATCACCCGTTGTATGTTAAGAAGTCAGTAGTCTCGTCCATGTTTCTAAGGGCATATAGGATTTGCGATACAGAATTTATCGATCGTGAAATTGACGTCATATTTGAAACATTTTCGAAATTAGGATATCCGCGAGGTGGAAGTTTTATACTCATTCCCGTAATACTCAACAGGCCAGTGACAAGAATCTACTAATTATTCCGTATAACCCGTCCCTCGATGAGAAGTGTCACATGTTTAAAGGCGTTGGAATTGACATTGTGTTTACGTATCCAAACACGTTGCGCAATACTTGGGTTAAACACAATGTGACTAGCGGTGCTCTTGGGACTTCTCCCGGTATTTATACTATACCCTGTAAGGATTGCCTTACATAGGCGAGACCGGTAGAGCTTTTGAAAAAAAAAATCAAT